TGTATAATACATGCTGTAAGTAGAGAGAATCCTCCCCTGTGCTGATATTAGACGTTCAAACGTCAAAAAGCCCCATGTTATAATTTTGTACACAAACTTAAGTATAAAATATATTACTTGTAACTGTCGCTCAAAATAATCTTGGAGGTCTGCATGCTTTTGACAGTTGAGGTACATAAAATGCATAAAAACTTAACTTTGTTGGCATAAAAAGAAACTTAAACAAGCATGTCACTGGTTTTAAAAGTAGCACTCTTAAAATCATTATCCTTCAGCTGTCGAATTTACTTCTTCTGGGCTTGCTAAACTTGTTTTTCATCAATTTTCAATGTTACCTGCAAAATGTTTGATGTCAATGACATCTACTGTTTCATAATGGTAATAATTTCAGTCCTGGAGGTTAAGAATTTATATTTAAAAGTATAGGAAGTCTTAATAACAAATGGCTAAATGCCCGCAAACGTTTGCTTAATTAAAGAGCCCACTTGCGAATTGTGAAATTATATCAGAAACCTGCTATTCACGTTTCCTGACTTAAAACTTCGAATTGGCGAAGCTAAATAAATATAAATATAWTAGGGGAAAAAACCCTTTTTGTGAACGGCTTTTTAATCTAAAATTAAAACARTATATTTTGGCATTTATTCTCAAAGTGGGAGAGAGAATCTCGCGGCGAAGAGTAATTTAAGTCTAGTCTGTTATAGGCGTTATGGAAACTGTTTAAACTCGGTCATATTGGAGCGCGCTAGAGCTTACATTGTCAGTCGGATTGTTTATACATTTTTAAGCCTTTTCTCCACGATTTTTTTTTATTTTTTAAAGACTTTTTCACACAGAAGTTTGCCGACTGCTGTCTCAAAAGTAGCTCAACCGCGGAGAACTTCTGATTGATGCTCTAAAGTTCGAATTTTTGTAAATGCAAGAGCAGGGCAGAAAGAACTTAGAAATAATAATTTAAAAAAAACACACACATTTTAGTGAATTTTAAGCTTCATAACCGGTCTTTGAAAATAAATATTACTTTACATATAAATCGAGCTTCTGAGAAGAAAACAAACAAACAAACGGGGATGAGGGAGGGAGACGATAAAAAATAGTGTTAAATTTAATTTGTAGAAAAACGATTTTTTTGAAACATAAAATCATAAACATCCGATATAAATTATGAAAAACTATTCTCGCTAATTTCAAAGAACAATCATTGACACTTTTARCTTCAAACTTCTTTGCAAAGGTTAAGCTAAAAAGTATAAACATGTATCGACATCTGTTGTGAAAATCTACCGCGAAAATTATCAAAAAAGTTTGGCGATCAACTCAGTTTGGTACTTTTGTTTATCCAAATCGGTACTGCTATGAATTAAGCTTATGTTTTATTCGTCTCTAGCTTAATTGTTTTCTTTTGTGCGTCCTTGGGCTACAATTAATTTGCGCCTTTGTTACTTGTTTTTATAAAGGGAAACAACTAGCAAAACCGGAAAATGTAGAGTAGTTTTCAAATTACAGTATGTGACGCGCTGTAAGTTAATTTTATAGTAGGTAGTCTATTGTAGTTCTAGCTGAAAGTTAGTTTTCAGTTTTATTTATTTGCGTAAAGGAGGTATGATTATTTATCATATAATTATCTATGAAATACTTATATTTCTCCATTTCATAAAGTTGTTATTTTTAATAAAGTGAAAATARCACATTCGAGGTTTCTCTATATAGTGGAAGTAGGAAAAATGGTATTTTATACCATAATTGTTTTCACGTGCATTATATGATAAACAGAATATTAAATGGTCGCTTGGAGATACGAATTTTATCTTCTCGTGTTGCAAATCTCTTTCGTTCGCGTACTTTTAATKTAACACTTTAAGATAAGACCCGCGCGCCAATGTAATATCCTCTATATGTATACAGCACTTGTATGTAATAGCTCTGAAAAGAATGTGGYAAATCCTCTAGTTCAATAATATAACTGTTTGCAGTAAACTCACCAAGTAGTCGACACCAAACAAGCGAAAATTTCATATTTGATATTTCAGTATAAAGAAAGATCTAAGAAGAACTCTTTGAAAATAATACTTACGCTTAAACTTTTAATTATATTATTTTTACACTTACCGAAAGAACTTTCGAAGTAAACCATCAAGAAGGCCAACATAAACATTTTCGCCATTGTGTAAATGAGTTTTGGCTATTTGAGGGCGCTATTTTCATAAGTTTTTCTGTCTTGTTTGCTTAGGAAGAAATTGTCTGATACGAATGGAATAGACGAGTTCCATCTCTAAATAGTCGTTCAAACATGAATATTTATTAAAATATCTCATATGAATGCTGATCAAGAAATTCTAGTAATTATGATGCCATACTTTTCGCAGTGGGGGTCAGATTTAATGTGGGAAATTTCGATTCTTCTCCTTTTCTTTGCAAGAAGGTTTACATTCAAAGCTGGAGTGCTTTATTCGTCTATTCATAATATTTTGCAGTTGTTGATCTATTCTTTGTTGTTTTATGAAATCCACAATAGACATGCCAAGAAAAAGCTCGAKTGAATAATTCATTTTTTCGTTTAGCGGTTATATTTTCACTTTCCACATGCATTTGTCCTGTAGGCAGTACTATCAAAAAGGTTTACCTCTTAATTAACCCTTGCTCAGGAAAATACTACATATTTTATTTCTTTTCAGAACTTTTTGCAAATTGGCACTTTTTCTCTCAGTTAAACTGGCAGTTTTCAGYGGCTTTTTTTTTACTGCAATTTTCAGTGGCGATTTTTCTGGCAAAAATACATAGATTTTGTCTAATCCATCTGAGAATACTGTTTACTAACTAAAATTAGCTCACGTCAATGATACCGAATAAAAGTTCACAATAATTCTTTAGCATTATTTTATGGAAGAAAATTACTACTAAGAAAGATCTCCGGGAAATTATCGCCAGCGTGTAACAGGCTTTAGCGTTTTAATAAACGAACTATCATAAGGAAGTCAATATATTTTGACATTAAAAAAATAAAACAATGTTAGTGGCACCGGTTTTTTGCATGTCATTACATTATAGACAATTTATTAAATTCGCTTTCATTAAATTCATTTTGAATTTTTATTGTTCTCAAGCCGAAAAGTTGAAAAGTTGTTTTGTTCTTGTTATTGAACGTCTAAGGATCCCTATGGTGGCGGACCAGCAATTTTTTTCACTAAAAATAGAATAAAACGTAACATAAATAAACAAACAAAATAGCCGTCTAGAAGATTGAACGGTTTGTCTTTCCCTACGATTTAACAAAACCCAATTTTGAACTCAATACTCAAACTCTTTCCCATTCCCTCATCCCTTAACTTGGGAAATAAGAGCATGGTGACGAGGTTGCTCGATACATAAATCTCTGCGACTTTGACTTCAACTGGAATTGGAAGTTGATTCTTTAAGTCAATTCATATCAAAGAATTGCCCCACAAAAGTTGTCCTTCGTTTAGCAGCCATATAGGAATACGATAGGAATGGTTTTTGTCGATTTTCTCAATTTTTAAAGCTTGAAATCGTCTGAAACTTGCAGATATTATAGCTAAAACACTTCTCAACAATCGGCCATTTTGTTTGTTTCCATATATGGCATGGATTTGCTAAAGGAAGCCCAAAACTAAAAAGCACAGGGAACCCGCACGAATGAGATACAATTCTTTGATATGTGTCAAGGGAAAACAAAAGCAAACAAGCGAAAACTAATGCGAAACTAGACGATCATTGATCGCACACATGGGCTTCCTTCCAGAGGCAAAAAAAATTGCTTTTACAAATAAAATCTATTATATTTCCCACTTTTTTGGAAAGCAAGACAATGAAGAGTGCTAAGTTGGGCTACGATCAAACGACGAAGGATTAACGTCCGAAACGTCAGTAAGTTATTTCACATAATTTCTTCACGGTGTTAAATTTATCTTTTTACACAACAGTTTCTTTTAAAAACACCGACGCAGCTCACACTAATTTACCGCTAGTTCCCACCATTTTACGATCAAATGGTTATTTAGAATCCCTATCGTTGACCTGAACTGGAGGCATTGCGTGTAATATTAAAATGAAACAATGAAAACTCAGATATTTTAAGAAATTGTTCCTTTTTCCTTGCTAAACTTGCTACTACTTGGCTGTTAAAAAATTCACAACACGACAGAAAACCAACAGCATTTTTAGACATGTTCTTCCACAGGAAGCTCATGTAATAATAAAAACAAAATAAATGCGCCATCTTGAAAGATAACCATGCCTAGCATAGAAACCTTCTTTC